CCCAACAGATTTACTTTCCCAAGTGGACCGTTTGCCATAATGGTCTACCTGGTAGTCATATTTTGTTAGAACTTTATTAGGATTTCTGAGTTATTACAATTACAATGGACAAAACTGGGGGATGGAAAAGAAAAAGAGGACAGAAAGAGAAGTTGAGCACAAAGTTCACAGAAGGAGAGGGAAAGAAAAATAGAGAAGCAGATGGAGAGAGAGAAAAAACAGTGAAAATCTGCTGAAGAAAAACAACAAAAACACAGCAGAGAAACCACGGCAACGGCCAACATATGGGGTAGTCTACCTAGTACTCCCATTCTGATAATTTAGAGTCTACCTGTGACACTGTGAGCTCTTTACCTTACAGTGTAACCTGCTTTGTGATGACTTGTAACAAACCACAGGTAGAAGGAACCTGGAAACAGGCAAGAGAAAAGACTATAAACAGGATGATGATGTCCAACATGAACCAGCAGGTTTAACAAATCAAACATTCAAAAGGGAAGAAAGTGAAGACGGAGAGAAATACACCAGAATCGACGATTACAAAATACAAAAAGTTATTGTTATGATCTGGCAATACATCGATACAAATGTACAGAAATCAGTTGCAAATTAATTGAACAATATTTAAATAACTTAAAAAATAAATATTTAAAAAACACTTTTTACATTTTATTTATTTTCTCTATTTGCTCTAGTTGCATTTGTAATTCAATCTTTTAGTGGTGTTCTGTATGTTTTAGAAGTATTTCCACTTTCACAGATAAAGTTTACATCATTATTAAACATATTTAACGACAGTAAGATGTAGAGCTGAGTGATGAGTAGCTTTAGGACCTGTACAGCCATTATCGGTTCTCCAAACTTTGACAGTAAAACCGACTCTTAGCTTTTGTGAACTGTGGTTTTGAATCAAGTTATCGTCACACTGCACCTTATTTTTTAATTACAGGTATATTGGAGGTGCTTCACTGTGTACTGGTGGAGAGTCCTGAAGCACTTAACATAATCAAAGAGGAACATATCAAGTCTATCATATCTCTGTTGGACAAACATGGCCGGAACCACAAGGTATGGGCACTTACTTACCCACAAACATAAACTGATGATGATAGTGTATTTTAATTATCCCTGGTACACTTGCATCCTTCTTTATAGGTAGAGGCTGTTCTTTGGATAGCTTGCCTTGGTTATTCTGTTGATTTAGATTCTATCGGTATGTTTCTTTATTTGACTCCATGATGTTGAAAACAGGACTCTGTGAGGTCAGGCCTTCTGTTGCAGGACGACTTCTCCTTATTACGTCTGGCGAGATTTTATGACTCTGCCTTGTTATTTTTCCCTTTTTTCATGCTGAAGCATGAATTTAGTACCAATCACATAAAAATCTGAACATCTATACATGGTGTTTAAAACAAGCAATCTAATATTTTTTAGGTCCATCTTACTTAACAGACATCCTGCTAACACACTCAATATGTTAGCAGCAGATCCTTTCACTCTTTGTTGTAAGGCCTCCATGGATCTAACTTGCTGCAGTGTATCGCACCGAAGATCCACATCCTGGACCTTTTGTTGTGTTTAAATCATGTAGTTTCTGCAATGTATCAAGGAGCATCATCCTGATGGGAAAAGTTATTGCCATCAGGGAATACTGTTACCATTAAGGACCAAAAGCTTCTTGTGTCATCACACTGCCTGTGCCAGCTTGCAGTGTTTCCCATCATTTCTTTGAGTAACAGCTAAATGCACTTGGTTGTCACTAGATGTCAAAGAAAACCAGGCCACCTTTTCCCATTGCTCCATGGTACGGTCCTGATACTCATGTGTTCATTGCAGCAGGTTTCAGTCAGAAATACAGACTGAGCGGACGCTCTGAGCCCTCTGTGGTGTCTCCAGCCACCACTGACCTTTTCAGCAGTTCAGTATAGATGTCACTACCTGTTTACTTGTGTCTCTTTATATCGTAGAGACAATAACATCTTATCCGTCTTGTTTATAAATACCATTTAGGTTCTAGACGTGCTGTGTTCACTGTGTGTGTGTCACGGCGTGGCAGTGCGCTCTAACCAGCACCTGATCTGTGACAACCTGCTGCCAGGAAGAGATTTGTTACTGCAGACCCGCCTGATCAACCACATAAGCAGGTAAACAAATACAAATAGAACTACATTTGTAAGGAAGCCCACGTCAGTAATGGATTTACCGACTCACTGACATTCATTCACTCCAACAGCATGCGACCCAACATCTTTTTGGGCGTCAGTGAGGGCTCTGCCCAGTACAGGAAGTGGTACTACGAGCTGATTGTGGATCAGGTTTTGCCATTTGTCACAGCAGAGGCCACTCACCTCAGGGTGGGTTGGGGCAACACCAATGGCTATGCACCGTACCCCAGTGGAGGAGAGGGGTGGGGAGGCAACGGGGTGGGTGATGACCTCTATTCCTATGGCTTTGATGGACTCCATCTTTGGTCAGGTGAGCTGTGTGTGTCCAGTATGTGTGTATAAAGATGGAGTGATTTTGATGACTAACTCACTGATAATGAAAGTCTGTGCAGAATCATTTTACCCCTCAGCCCTAGAATGAGGTAATGTAGGAGCTTTAAATTAATACCATAGTTGTATCGACTAAGACAAGTTTGATCCTCAGTAACCTCAACCTAAAGGTCAAAATACTGTGAATACAATAACTCGTGATGGAAGTCACCTAGGATGTTTCAAATTGGAGGATGGCAGCACCTCCTACAATCTCACTGATCTCAACTAATGTTTTCTGAAAATCTTGTGAATGTGATATCTCGAGAATAAGCAAGATTTTGAAATTAATACCATAGGTGTGTCTAACAGGAGACTGAAGGGTGGCACTGGCAGTTGCCAGTATGTTTTCCCATTGAAATGTGAGACTACTGAATGTCTTTCTTAGATTAAAAAATATGAACTGTGGACTATAGTGGTCAAAATGTTTAGGTGTGAGAGTGCTGTGCTGCCTCAAGGACTGAGCAGCTTACAGCTGTTAATTTAACATCATATCAGAAAGCACCAATACGGTGTACATTTGAATAATAATAATGGATTTATATAACACTTTTCAAGAGCCACAAAGCACTTTACAATGCCACTATTCATTCACTCTCACATTCACACACTGGTGGAGGCAGCTACAGTTGTAGCCACAGCTGCCCTGGGGCAGACTGACAGAAGCG